CCAGGAAAAGCCTCTAGCTTGATGTTTGATCCAGGAACTTTGGACTTGCCAGCTTCTATAACTGTGTGAGCCATTTTCCTAAGATAAATTTCTCTCTATATATATACACATATATAAGCTTTACTGGTTTTTGTTTCTCTAGAGAACTCAGTCTAACACACCATTCCTCTTCAACTTGTAATTCCCACCATAGTAGACCATATGATTGTCTGATTCAAAACAGCCAATAACAGTAGATTTCAACTCACTAATGCCTAGGATATTGAACTTTATGTGTCCTATTTCATTTTTGACAACTTCCAGTTTTCCTACATAATAATAATGTCCTTTGTACATTCCACATTCTAATTATTAATGGGTGTTTGCAGCTGTTTCTTCTTATTTTGAGTCATGCCATATCAACAAATAAGGTTCTAAAAGCTTTACTCCATCCACACCATTAAGGCTGACTCTACTTGGAGGAGGCAGCTTTTCCCCAGTTTTATTTTGAGTGCCTTCCAACCCGAGAGACTCATCTTCTGGCACTATACCAGACAATGTTTCTCTGCTATTCATAAGGTTTTCAGTGGCTTTTTTGTCTTTCCCTCCCAGAAGTGCATAGATCTATCCTTATTCCTAATCAGTCTTTGTCTGGAAGCTCTGCTGAAACCTGCCAACCATAGGTGACCCTACTGTATTTGAAATAACCGTGGTATAGCTTCCAACATCACAGCAACACACAAGCCACTATAGTACGACAATTGACATATGAGTGGTGGGTACATCAGTAGTTAAGTGCAAATCATTTGTGCCACCCAAGGGAACTCTCAAAAGACTACAGACTCTCCTATATTTTGGCTGGAATTTCATCTCCCATATAACTCTTTCTGTTTCTAGAACATTTAAATGGTGTTGATGAATTGACTAACTAAAATGTCTCAATATAAATTCTGAAACCTTGCATTAAAGCAGTGACAGAAGCCATAATATATGTGAGGATCTCCCAAATGAACAGCCATATATATATATATATATATATAGAGAGAGAGAGAGAGAGAGAGAGAGAGCTCTGGTAGCATAGTGCCTAAGGCACTTGACTGCTAACCAGTAGGCTGGCAGTTCAAACCCACCAGCCACTCCTCAGATGGAAATGGGGCAATCTACTTCCGTAGTGATATTGCCTCGGAAACCCAAGGAGGGGGTCACTATGAGTCAGGTCCGACTCGACGGCACGTAACAACAACAACAGCAACAACAAATATGTGTGTGTGTGTGTATATATATATATATATATGTGTGTGTGTGTGTATATATATATATATATATATATATATATGTTTTTTTTTTAAATCTTGGTTGCTGGTGTGTCTATCCATCAAGCACCTGTACTTTTCACTTCTCCATTTTCATCACTTCTTCTCCTTCACCTTTAAAGAATGACAATATCCTAGAGTTTACTTTATTAAAAATTATGTCTGAGGGGAGGGAACACTGCAAAAAAATTTCAAACTTAAAAAATAATAAAAAATAATGTCTGGCTACCGTTGCTGAAGGTTTTGATCAAAGATTCTGTAGAAGGATCCTTATCAAATGGGAGAAGAAATATAGAACAGAATTTCAAATTGTCGTGGAATCTAGACTTTCTGGAGCCATTGAGGCTAGAAGAACCCCTGAAACTATGTCCCTCAAATAATCTTTAAACCTTAAAGCAGAAATATCCCATGAGGTCATCTTTAAATGAAACAATAGTTTGTCATAACTAGAAAAGAATGTCTGCCTTGAACATTGTGCTCTTTTAAGAACTATCTGTACGAGATCAACCCACCAGCCACTCCTTGGAAGGAAGGTTAGGCAATCTACTTCCCTAGTGATATCATCTTGGAAACCCAAGGAGGGGTCGCTATGAGTCGGATCCAACTTGACGGCAGTAAGTTTTTTTTTTTAATATAATATCAAGTTGATGATAACAAATTAAAAGATTAGACAGGAAACTTAGGGGCAGTGAGTTTATGTTAAAATAGGGGAGGAATAATTTAGAAAAGGAGGATGAAAATGATTGCATAACTTGAAGAATGTAATCAATATTACTGAATTGTACATGTAGAAATTATTGAATTGGTATATATTCTGCTGCACATGTTCTCAACAAAAACAAAAGTAAATGTTTTAAAAAATCTCTCCTTGTCCCATTCTCTTCAGCCTTTTCCCTTTAGACCTTCATCATTTCTCACCTAGATTATTGAAGTAATCTCCTAAATGGCCACCTTGCCTCTAACATGCCCCTTCTCACCACAACCCATTTACCAAAGCTCTTTGGAAATACTATTTTGCAAATGAAAGGCCTGACTATGTCATTCCTTTACTTAAACCCCTTCAATGGCTCTCTTGCCTCTACAGGATGATGTCCAAATTCCTAAGCATGGCCTGCCTGCTCCCCAAGGCCTGGTTCAGCTGCCTGTACAGCCTGAACTCTTGCTGTGTCTCCCTTTCACAACTTTTTCTTTGGCTGTTGACTGACTCACCTAGAGTTTCCACCGAAGTGCCATAGGATAGTATTCCTCATTGCCTTTAGTTACTCTGTTCAGTCTTTCTGGAAAGCTTTTGTTTTTTTGCTATCTAACCCCCAGATTTTTTCTTCCTACTTGCTCCTACTTTATCTACTATTCCTTTCCCCCTTTCATTCCCAGCCAATTGTCAAATACCTACTTTTCTTTCAAGACTTGGCTCATGTGCCCTGGTTGTTTCCTGACTCTTCTATTTAGGGAGTGGCCTCTTCCTTCTATATACTTAGATTCCCACTGCCTCCTAGTGACTTCTATCATGTTACCCGTAGACTTTTTTACGCTCACTGTAAGTATCAGTCTCTCACATTAGACTGGGAATTCTCTGAAGACAGGGGTGGTATCATTGACATCTTTATCCCCAACACAAGGCACAGTGCCTTGCACAAAGTAAGTGCCCAGTGAATGTTCACGGGTTGATGTATCACCCAACACGAATATAGAGATCAAAGGCAAGCAGCTGAGTGTTTTTTCTTCATTTGCCTAAAATTTCACATTTTAACAAGTAGCATACCCAGGAGAAAGGGTGTACTGAGATGAGCCACAAGTTACAAGGTTATAAGTTAAAAGATAACCAAAGACTTAAACCAGAAAAGATATAGGAGTAGTAGAGGTTTAAGTTTACGAATATTTTAATGTTTGAGGTTTGTTTCAGATTGAGATTGAGAACATACATAAATTCGGTTCTAGTAAAAAAAATCGTTCTGTGCCAGACACCTGGTGAGGGGAGTAGAGCAGAAGACGAATTCGCAACCTCACAATTGAGTGAAGACATCACCACACATATCGCAAGAGAGACACAAAGTGCCATGGGGCACGAAGGCAGGGAGAAATCAATTCTCATTGGAAGAACCTAGGAATTCCTTAAGGAGACTAGAATTTAAACAGAGATGTGAAGAAAGGTAAAACTTTGGTAGATGGAACTATAAGGCAGGGAAGGTGCCCAAGGAGAGGTGCAGAGGTTAGTGAATGCCATGTGTGCTCAGGGAGGGTAGAGCTACCATAGCTGGAGCACTGGGTACCAGCAGAGGGTGTGATGGGAAATAACTGTGGACAGATAAAGACACTTAAGGATGCAGGAGATTTGGGATCTGATTACATCAATAATGAGAGGCCTGTGGAAATTTTGAAGGAGGTTTGGGGTCATATGTATTTGTTCAAATTGATTGAAATAGTTTTGCTTTGGTAACAAATTTAGTTTTAAAAAAATGGCATTCAGCTCAGTGAGATTTGATATTCAGCTACTGAAGACCCATTGAGATTCCAGTCTGAGAATACTTACTGGGAGAGAAAGAAATGTGTTGAAAAAATCTGCAAAGATTTCATCCTCCAGCAGAATTATAAGATTTGTAGAACTGATGATCTCTATATGGGGAGAAAAAAATTAAAATCTCATGAATTAGAATTACATTCATGTTGAAAAGATTAATAGATTATTTCACACAGCCATTCTCAGCATGAGGCCAGCTTTTAGGGTCATCTACCTCAATTTCCTTTCCTCTCTGAGACTCTTCTCTATAATGTCACTCTGCTTAAAAACTTCCAGTTATGGGGAGCTCATCTCCTCACAAGCTTGCCCATCTCATTTATGAAGACATGAAATAGAATGGTTTTTCCTATTGTGAACTGCCTCCCTTTACTTTATTCTGATTTGTAGCAATTCTGCTCTGAAGCTTCACAGAATACTTCTAACTTCTCTAAAATGGGACAGTGCTTATAATATTTATAAAAAAAACATTGTAACCTTCTACTTGCCTCCAGTTTCTCTCTGCTGGTCACTAAGCATTTCTTCAACCATTGCTCAAACTGCTTCATTTCCATTCCAATTCCTGTCTTGTTTGGAGTGGCTCCCACATCTAAAGCACTCCAAATACTTTCCAGGGTAGAACATACTAGAATTATTGCCTATAGGACAGGTTTTATCAGTGTTGCCTCAAATGGGGGCTTTCACAGTACTATGTTAACTCCACCATCCTTTATTTACACAGTCACTTTTCAGAAACCAAGGGTAGGAATTTACATTTACTCTAGTCTAAGTTAAACTTGTTGGTTTGGACCCAGCATTATAGCCTGACAAGAGCTTTTCTGAATATTGATTTGGTCATACAACATATTCACTACTTCTCTCAGGTTTGATAATCATGCTGTTCAAGTTTATCCAAAGATATAATAGTTGAATATTGTAAAGTCAAGCATAAAGACCAGGAGAGGACTGAGAGACCCCTCTCTTCAAGTTCACTTTTATCCACTCTAATCTCTTTAGAGCACAATGCTCAATAATGAATAACAAGCTAATTGTTCTGTTAATGACCCAGCATTTCTCCATCATACCCAAGTTTATAATGAAAGACTATAAAATGAGAAACCTAAATAATGTACATTAGGACTATCTCTCAGTCTAGTTAAGTATCTGGTGAGAATAGTAACTGCCACTCACAATCACTGAAGTACAGTTATAATAACATAAAAATAGCTACACAATCTCCTCCATCACTTTTCCTATAGACACTGGAGTGATTAATAGAGTAGAAATAAAAACCCAATCAACTAGTATTGTAAGTAATGGAATTGGTGTCCATTTTTGTCCTCTGTTGGATGGATATCTTTTTTCTTGCTGTCTAGCATTGTAAATTTCCATGTGTGCTTTTCCTGCCTCCCTCCTCAGCCCTCTGTTCTACTTTTTATGAGCATTTTCTGAATTTTATGAGCACAGAGATGATTTCAAAATCTGTGTTTTCAGTGCAGCCTTCTCTCCTTGGCTCTAGCTCTAAATGTTCAATAAACTATGGAATACCTCAACAGGGACACTCATTAAAAAATGTCCAATACTAGTTTTATCATCTGCCTCACAATTTGCTCTTTTTTATGTATTCCTAATTGTTGTTGTTTGCTGTCAAGTCGGACTCGACTCATAGCGACCCCTCCTCGGTTTCCGAGGCAATATCACTACGGAAGTAGATTGCCCAAACTTCCTTCCTAGGAGTGGCTGGTGGGTTTGAACCTGCCTTCTGGTTAGCAGTCAGGTGCCTTAGCCACTATGCTACCAGAGCTCCTGTATTCCTAATTAGTTAATGCAAATGCCATACATCCAATTTTGAAACCATAAACCTGACGTTTGTCTTGAATTTCTGTCTCTCCTCCTATTTCTTCTTCTTCTCACATGCAATAGAGTACCGTGTTATGTGATTTCTCCATCTACATATTTCTGAAATCTATCCTCTCCATCCATAAAATCACTCTTTTATTTCAGGCCTCTATCCTTGGAACTCTGGTAGCACAGTGACTGAGGCAACTGACTGCTAACCAGAAGGTTGGTGGTTCAAACCTGCCAGCTGCTCCGTGGAAGCAAGACTGAGCAATCTACATCCATAAAGATTTATCACTTCCGAAACCCAATGGGGGTTGCTAAGAGTCAGAATTGACTTTATGGCAGTGAGGTGTTTTTTTTTTTTTTTTTAATCCTTGGTCAGTGTCCCTGGGTGATACAAATAGTTAAAGCAGTTGGCTGCTAATCAAAAGGTTGGCAGTTCGAGCTCACCAAAAGGCACATTGGGAGACGGGCCTGATAATCCACTTCTGAAAAGTCAGTCATTGAGAACATTATGGAGCACAGTCCTACTCTGACACACATAAGATCACCATGAGATGCAGTCAACTCGACAGCAACTGCTTTTGGTTTTGTCCTTTCTCACCTAGACTATTGCACCAGTTTCTTAAAAGGTCTCCTTATCCTCATTCTCTTCCTCTTCCAAGCATCCTCCACACAATGCATTACAATCTGTTGATGCTATTATTGTTACAACCCTTCAAAGTCTCCTCATTGTCCTACAAAGTAAAGTCCAAATTCCTTAGTACAGCATATGAGGCCCCACCCAATCTAGTTTTTGAGTTCTCCTCTAGTCTCATCTCCTACCATCTCACCTCTATGCTGCCTCCAGTTTATCAGCCAAACCAAGACATTGCTATTTTCTGCACATGATATGCCTTTGCACCTTGAACCTCTATGTGTTTGTTCCCACATTCTCATTGCTTGAAATGTCCTTTTCAACCCCAGTCTGTTTCACAAATTACTAGTATTCCATCAAGAACTAACTTACAATGGCCACCTAAGATGTAATTCTTGGTCTCTACCCATCCAGAGCAATAGAGAAAGAAGGAAATCAAAGACTCGAAGAACTAGTATACAGGACAAATTGTCTATACAAACCATGGTTTCATCTACCCTGAAACCAGAAGAACTAGTTGGTGCCTGGCTACCATCACTACTAGTACCAGAAAAACTAGATGGTATCCCACTCCCATTACAATAGATGGACCCTGATAGGATTGGAGGACAATGTGGAACAGAACCTCACGTTTTCTAAAACAAAACAAAACAGATCTATTAGACTAGTTGAGACCAAAGGACTCCCTGAGGTGTTTGCCTTAAGGTACTCTTCAAATCTCCAACCAAAACTAACCCCTGAGGTCACTTTGTAGTTAAATAACAGATTGGCTCAAAAAACAATGACTATCACCCGTAAGTGCTGTGCTCTTTAAAAAAAAAAAAAAAAAAAAAAAAAATCACCTACATGAGACCAAAGAGTCAACAATTACTTTAAAATAAAGATGAAAATGTAAGGGGGTAGGAAAACCAGATGAATAGAAATGGAACAACTAGAGTGAAAGTAAGAGTGTTCACACATTGTGAAGAACATAGCCAATGCCACTAGACTACTTGTGTATATATTGTTGAATGGGAATCTAAACTGCTGTGTAAGCCATCATTGAAAATATAATAAAGTATTTACTAAAAGATAAAATAAAAGAACTGACTTACGTGTAAGCTTGGTGAACCACCCTACAATGGTCAAACTGATCCACCATGATGTACATATTTCACTATTACAATTAACAGTCGTGTTGTTCTTATCCATTAACGTATCTGTTTTCCTCTCTAGAATGAGCTTTATGAGAGGAAAGACTTTCTCTTTTCATCTTTCCCTAGGCACTAATAGTGTTTACACAATGTCTAAGTTCTGTGAATGCTGAATGAATTGTTCTTTCAATGAATAGTTGTTCTTTAAAGAGACAATCTTAATTTTTTTTTCTTTTGGTCAATCATATGCCCTAGCATGGATTTGTTGAATGAGTACATATTTGCCTTTGATAGGGCCTGTCATTGACAAGACAATCTTAATGTGGCATGAAAACAAGGTTCTCCATGTCCTTCCCTTTTCCATCCTACCATTTCTTCACACTTATTTTTCCATTCTTAACTTTCTGCTTTCAAATAATCTGGGAAAGATTTTAGTGCTCAATCCACATCATAATAATATCCACTTTGGAAAAAAGAGATCAGTGGATAATCTCAAACTTCATATTGACTTTCTCCCTGGAGGAGGTAAGGTACAGACTGGCCTTTCTTGCCTTATCTGTCTTATCAATGGAGCTGTGTCCTATCCCCAAATATCTGGCAGTGGAAAGTAGGAGAAGGGGCAAGAGAAATGAGGAAAACAAAAGGCACAAATAACTTAAAGCCATGTATAATGTCTCTGAACGGCTTAGGTCTGTCAAGGATTGGGAAGATAAGTGACTTGCCTTATTTGGGGGATTCAGAGCCTTAATGACACCACTCTCACAGTGACTTACCAGCATTGCTCATGTTGCCATGCTTTTTCCTGCTGCTGTAATTGGTTAAGAGCAGAGAAAGCCCACAGTAGAATCCCTGACAATGAATCACAGTGGTATTCTCTCTAAGGGGTTCCAGATTCCATCAGGCAGTGACCTACTTATTGCTATGAGAGACCTCAGTCTGAAGGTAAGTCTTTATCTTACGTGATCTCCTAGATCCCCTTGAACTTACCAGAGTCTCTCCACACTTGGGCCTTTAGTTCATACTATTTTGTGTGCACTGACACTTTCTTTATAATTTTGTCTGAGCTCCTAAGCTTCAGTTCTCAATCTCTCAGTCTCTTTAACTTGGTGTTATACTTCAGGAAGCAGGGACCTGTTTAGTTCTTATGTGCCCCTTGGGTCTAATATCCTTCTGGAAATTTAGAAAGTGCTCAATGAATGTCTAATGGCTTGACTTGTCTCTCAAATGAATTGGAAAATTCAACCTAATATACAAGTTTGTTTTTCCTATCTCCTTTTCTACTTCCCGAATAGTTTCCCATTGGTTGGCTGTGGATTACTGCATTATCCATTGGCTTTAAGGTACTGTTTGTCAAGTTGATTGTGACTCATGGTGACCCCATGTATGCAGAGTAGAACTGCTCATAGGATTTTGAAGGCTGTAAACTTTCAGAAAGAGATCACCAGACTTACCTTCTGAGGAACCTCTGTGTGGGTTTGAACAGCCAGCTTGGTGGCTCAGCTAGTGGTCAAGCGCTTAACCATTAACCCAACAATGGACTCTTACCTTTAAGGAGGGATAGAAAAAGAATTAGCTGAACGCCTTCCATGAGTTGGAAGTTACATTGAATGTTTCTTATTCTGTTCTCATTCTATCCTGTAGCCTTGAAAAATAGAGATCATCATCACCCCCTATTAATTAAAAAGATAGTAAGTGGCAACACTGAGATTTGATCCTGGCTTATTTATTTTAAGAGCCTGTGTTATGTCAAATATGTTAATATTTCAAATATGTCAGTAAATCAAATGTCCCCTCTCCCCCTTTGCAACTGAAGAATGTATTTTAACAGACTAACAACAAACCTCCTTGGTATGGGGACTCTGAATATTCTGAGAGATTTTTAAGTACATCTAAAACTACTCTTAAAAAATAAACTGCATTTAAAAAAATTAGAATAAAATCTCAACAGAAGTAAAGAAAAAAAATGGCATGATCAATTCCTCTAAAACCCTACCACTTTTTGGATTTATATGTTAGACTTTCTTTCTTACAGCTGCCATAGAGGAAGAGATAAACTATCTACATAAAAAGGAACTTGGGATAATGGTACCTCACACATATAAGAATTTTACCGGAAGACTGTAACAAAGTCATTTAAAATTTTCATCAAATCATAACATACTCAAGAACTGGAGATTTTCCCAGATGAGTGCTGACCACAAATTTTCTATTTCCTGATCATTCTCCCATTCATCAAAAGCAATTGCTCTACAAAAGATAGAAGGGAGGAAGAGATAATATGGGAAGGAAGCTGTACTTGTCTTTCATTTTCTTGTTATGATATAATGTTTTTTAACTGTGTAGTGGATCATGCCCACTTAGAGATGTTAACATGACCAGCTCACAGAGAATAGGAGAAAATTATTTTATTCACACAGAGATAGTCCTAGAACTGAACAAACAATTACAACTGGTGAAAAAGGAAACAGACAAGTTTTCTAGCATATTTCCAGCTTACCAAGGTCTTCAACTTTTGTTTATGATTTGGAAACTTGGAACTCAGCATGAGTAGCTGACATAGACCCATTTGTGACTAGACAGAAATGTTCAGAGTATTTTAATATGGAAAGTTTATTTTTGTCCTTTTTTTTTCAATTGTTCCAAAATGATTAGAAGATTAAACTCTTTCCTCATTTCAAGGGCAGGCAAATCATTTTGGCTTCAACCAGGCTTTGGGTTTGTTTTACCACATTTGGACATCCTTCCTTGCAATTTCTGTGGATACTACAAGGAAGTTCAAGAAAACAGGTCCTGGATACTTAGTGGGGCAGATTGTTATTAGGTGCCACTTAGTCGATTCTGACTATAGTGACCCCAGTTGACAGAGCAGAACTGCCTCATAGGGTTTTCTTGTCTGTAATCTTTATGCAAGCAGATCACCAGGTCTTTCTCTTAGGGAGCCACTGGGTGGGTTCAAACCACTGACCTTTTGGTTAGCAGCCAAGCACTTAACCATTGTGCCACCAGGGCTCTTAGTGGCTCCTAGTGGGGATTTGTTTTGTTCAGCTTTGGTTGCCCAGTCTCTGCTCACCTTTCTACTTGGGGTGAAATATCACTGTGTGTGTGTCTTGTGTTTGTGATTTGTGTGAAAATTTACAGAGCAAATTCATTTTCCATACAGCTGTTGTTGTTGTTGTTGTTGTTATGTGCCATCGAGTTGGACCCGACTCATAGCGACCCCTCCTTGGGTTTCCGAGGCAGTATCACTATGGAAGTAGATTGTCCCGTCTTCCTTCCAAGGAGTGGCTGGTGGGTTTGAACCACCAGCCTTCTGGTTAGCAGTCAAGTGCCTTAGGCACTATGCTACCAGAGCTCCCTTCCATACAGCAGTGCATATATATTCTTTTTCATGGCACTGGTTGCAATCCCCATAATATAACAGTTTCTTCCTGCTTCCTCCCTGTGGTTACTCTTTCCCTGTGTCCTTTCTTCCTAATGCATTCTTGCCCTCTGAGCTATATTGCTCTGTGCAAATACGGCCCTTCTGGTCTCCCATGCTTGATTATTCTAAGGAGTGTACCTACCTGGTATAAATGTTCACTTTATACACCTGTCCATTGTTTGTCTGGAAGCCATAGGATTGAGTTCAATCCCAGGTTTGAAGAGTGACTAGGGGCCATAGTCTCAGGGATTTCACCCATCTCTATCAGACCAGTAAGCCTGGTCTTTTTTTTTTTTTTTTATGATTTTGAGTTATGTTCCACATTTTTCTCCCACTTTAGGATCTCCTATTTTGATCCCTTTCTGAGTGGTTGACAGTGGTAGCTTGGAACCATATAGTTCTTCTAAGCTCAGGGTCAAGAGGCTGAGGTTCACATGGTCCACTAGTCCCTTGGACTAATTGATTCCGTGTATCTTTGGTTTTCTTCATTCTTCTTTGCTCTGGACAAAGAGAGACCAATTGTTGCATCTTAGATGGCTGCTTGCAAGCTTTTAAGACCTCAGTCACTACTCACCAAAGTAGGATGTAGAACAATGGTTTTGTATAGTATGTTATGCCAATTGAGCTTTATGTCCCCTATGACCATGGTCCTGAGCCCATGGGCCCAGTGCCTCACTCCCTCAGGATGTTTGGCTATGGCTAAGAAGTTATTATAACTTTGCTTGTTAGCTCTAATATATATATGGACATTCTTATGGTGTAGTCCCTAAGTCATTTAACTGCTAACCAGACGGCGGTTCAAATCCACCAGCTACTTGGAGGAAGGCAGACTGGGCAATCTACTTCTGTAGTGATACTGCCTCAGAAACCCAAGGAGGGGTCGCTATGAGTCGGAGATGACTTGATGGCACATAACAACATAACAACAACAACATAGCACATACAAATCACTATGTGTGTCTTGGAGGGAATTTCTCCTACTATAAATGCCAGATGAGGCCAGACACTCCCTCTCTCTGCCCCTGTAAGTAAGGACATGGACATCTGTCCTAGACCCAGTATATCAGATCCTCCATCCAGAAATTTTCTTCTTGAAGGGGTGGCTCAAAGACTCAGGGGCAATTAGAGGTTATGCAAGCTGGTGACTGTGGCAGCAAAAACTCAGTGGCAGTGGTGCCAGCAGTAGTGACATAGTGCCCAGTTTTGATGGTCAAAATCCTGGAAAAATTTGCTGTAATTTAAAACAGACTTTCTGGTTTCAGTGGGAGGTGGTGCTAAGCACCAAAGACAAAGAGTTATGTGTTTATCATAACAGGCAGCCATGCCAGTGTAAATATCAAGGGGATCCAATCTGCATATTCTTTGTGGTGACTATTGATCATGAGGTCCCTGGTATCAAAGTGTGTGGGCAGCTCACTAAGATACTACTTGAGAATATAAATTCTATGATGGTGGGATTTTTTTACTGCTTTACTCAATGATGTATGCCAAACATCAAAAGTAATTTCTACTGTATGAAGATGCTCTATAAATATTTGTTGGATAAACGAATTAATAAGTAGAAGCTGAAAAGCAGCCATCATGAGACAGAATCATGTCCCTCATCAAATTTTTGGACCTCGATCAGGTCTAGAAGCTCAAATAAAAAGAAAGCATTTTGCCCTTCAGAAAAAAATTGCAATATTTTTGCAATTATTTACTATGAATATTCTTCCTAATTTTTTCCCAAAGGGACACATAACCATTTCTGGGGTAACTGTGCTTTGCAGTGAAGGAGGTAACCAGACCATTGAAAATCATTAGATGCTGGACCTGAACAAATAATAGTATGAGATATGAACTAAAGTCTATGAAAAAATCTTTCCTATATTTTCCAGATACTAATAATAATTCTCTGGGGTACTTGTAAGAAAGATAGTCCCCTGAGTCCCACCCGAGCCCTTCTAAACTGGAATTGACAGGGGAAGGATCTTGGAGTTTATATTTTCAATTATGCAAGTTTGGGAAACATCTAGTACCCTTTCCTTTTGGGACTAACAGATCTTAAAAGGATCAGGGATCCATTACTCAGTTCAAACCTCTAGTCTGTACTGTAAGGAGTTCTGGTGGTGTGGTGCCTAAGGAATTTGACTACTAACCAGTTTGGTGGTTCAAACTCACCAGCTGCTCCATGGAAGGAAGATGGGGCAATCCACTTTCATAAATATTTATTGCCTCGGAAACTGTTCTGATTACTTAGTGCCACTCTGACAGGAATATACCACAAATGGGATGGCTTTAATAAACAGGAGTTTAGAGGCTTTAAGTCCAAGTTCAAAGTTGCCAGGCTCTAGGGGCTGGGTGAAAGCCCCTCAACCTTGGGGTC